TGATGGTTTGATGAAGATTCGGGGCCTGTATACTGTAGAACATCATGCTCGGACGCGCGGTATCCCGAGCCGGGGATTTGACGGGGATATGAGTTCCCTTGTCCATAAGCCTGGGTTAGTTGCCTGACGGTGGTTGTTGATGTTGTACCTGCGGGAGTAGCGCCCAAAAGGCCAGTGCCATATGAAGTTGCAGTCGCAGCAGGTTGATATGTCGTGGTTTGCGTCGTTGTAGTGGATTCGTACTGGGCCGGTGGAACAGTAGACTGTGGGACTTGATAGACGGATCCGGTTGTCGAAGATGGATAGGCATTGGCAGTCACAGATGGCGGAGCGGGAAGTGCGAGCTGGGAGGATACTGGGCCAGTAATGGCAAGTGGAGAAGATACCACCAAAGTCTGCCCTGGTTGCTGTCCAGCAGTAAGGATCTGAGTCGGATCATTGTGCACTACAATCTGTCTTGTGGGGGGTTGTTGATTCCCATTTCGTGGAGACCGCCGGAAGATTGCCCAAAATGTGTTGACAGTAAAAGTGGTATGATCCCTGACTTCACCAAGGGCCTCCAACACCCAATACCAGTTACCGGGGTCAGATTCGCGAGCGTTGAGCTTGTGTTCGTAGCTTCGAACGTGTTTCTGTCGAAACGTTCCTAGATTTCCGAAGCAAGTGATCAAGTCGCGCCCAGGTACATCGTGTTCTCGAACCTTCTGCTCAAGCTCTTCTGGGTTCAGATTGATGTCGAGGTGTTCGCAGTGTTCCCAAGATTGCCTTGTTCGACTTCGTTCGGTGAGATTTTTGAAGTTGACGAACTTTCGGAGGACAGGATTGTTGCCGTCATCCGTTTTAGTCTGAGTAACTTGAACGACGCGTGTTTGGACTACCTGTTGTTGGGGTTGCTAGGTATGAAGTTAGTATGGTTGGGTAGCAATCAAAAATCAAGCTTCTACCTGGTATGCTGGCTGGACATGACGGTTTACTGACGATGCCGGAACAATTGTCATGGTTGGTGTCGGGTATTGGCTGGTGGCAAGGCTAGTCATAGCCATCGTAGTGAAGTAGGATAGATTGAGGGGGGAAATTCTGTTGGAAGGGAGGTTGATTGGCGCTACGGGTCGGGAATGTTGGTGTGGAGGTTGTTGGTGGATGTTCGTGGAGGAAGAGACAAGACGGAGGAGAAATGTCTTCTTTATACCCAGGGGTTGCCATCCTTCCGGACTGGAGAAACTGAATGTTACCAATCACGCAATGATACATTTAGGATTGGAAGAAACACGTACCATATGCAGGCGTGGCATGGGTTGTCGGTTTCCCAAAGACAGAAAGCACAACTCAGAGATGCCCTCGTTTCTTCCAAATGGAGGGGAAAAAGCCGATAGGCCTTGGCATATGGCGGAAGAGCAAGACACGACAGTCTATAGCCCTGAGTAGGCGCATCCGGGCATCTCCGTTTTTACCCCATGTGCGCAATGCCAATGGAACACCTAACGGTGGTTCTAGAAGGAGCTGTCGTCGGTGTTCAATATCTACTATAACCTCAATCTCATGAAATTAATTCGTGTAGTAGTCGTTGAGTGAATTTGACATGATCCTCCCAGTAGGCTATCATCTGCTCTGAGGGAAGGCTGGACGGAGAACTTGCGCTTTTCAGAGCGACAGAAAACGGAATATGAGAAGAGCACTACCGGGTGTTTCGAGAATCGCCAGTTTTTCCATCGGAATTCGTCTTATGCTTGCATTGGAGCTGTGGGGTTGCCTTTCAAAAACCATTTCACTGATAGATTGAATTCGACACCCTAACTGGCCCACATTGAGCTCCAACCGTTGGTTGCCAATGGCACTGATCATGAAGTCGTAACCGTGGATCCAAGTAACGATGCCAGCATACTCAATAAGCGTTTGTGAGGGACTGGGCCATCTCGTTCGGCATAGTTCAAGCTGTTCTCTATGGAGCCCAAAGTATGGAGGCTCCGCCAGATTCTCGCTCGCGAGGTGTTGAGTGGATGGGAGAGAGATGCGAGATCAGAGGAATCAATAATTGGTCAAGTGGGATGAAGGATCCGGAACTGTGTGGAGGGTGGTGGGCGTCGCCTAGGGCCGGTGGTGTGAGGGGGGGAGGAGAGTAAGAGAGTTTGTTCCATCCAGCGAAGCCCGTTCTCTTCCACATCACCCCGATCTTACACAAATATCTTCACGACTCCATCACCAGCACTATTCTTCATTTCGATATTCTGCTCCTTTGTCCCCTGTCCGCTGAATCCCATGTTTCTAACGCTGAACAAGTGCTGAATCTCCGCCGCCGAGATCTTCCCTGTATTCTCCTTCGATGCCCGCTGGTTCAAATCGTCGTCATCGCCTCCATCCCAATTGAAACCCCTTTGCCTCCAATTTTCTCGGGGCAATCATCCGAATGGGACGTGCATGACATGATGACAGCTCATCAAGCCTTCACAGCCCTGTCTTCGCCTCCACCAACAATTTTTTATGTCACGCTGGGTGTCGCTGGCGGCACCTGCTCCGGTATCTATTCCAAGGAGCCTCCAATGGTTATGTCAGACTATATCACACACTCGAGCTTTGGCTGAAGCTCACAAAAGAGTAGTTTTGCAGCAACTGGCGGTCATGCCATCGCTTTTCACGCGTGGAACAGTCTGCAGAAACAACAAAGAAAACAATAATCTTGCAGACCGCGCTGAAACAGTGGAAGGGGACTGTCAACGGTGCCCTTGAATTTGGACGATGAACTGAGACATTAAAACAGCTTTCAGATTTATTGTGACGGCCAACTATTCGACTATGGTTGCGGACTTACAGCGCACTGTTCTCCTCTCCGAAGACTACTGAATGGATAATTTGCTTCCTGTGGCTGGAAAACAGAAGGGAGTTGAAGGTATGTTTTTGTTGCGGTAATGACTGGCTTCAGAACGGTTCACCTGGCTCTCATTAACTAAGTACCGGCATCTTGGTATCCATAACGTTTCTTGAAGCTCCATATTCAGTCTACTCCGATTCTCAAACTCGTCAACTCTGCGCTGCGGTGGCCCTATACAGTGCATCTACCACTTCCACACATCTCCATCATACAGAACCACGAACATCCTCAGCTTGAGTAGTTCCATTACCGCCATGAAGAAACCGCCTTCTTTCCTGAAACTGACCATTATTGAATGTACACAGTTTGGTATCCATATACTGATGATGAAGGAGTAGGGACTAAACTCAAAGTATCTCGAATCACATTATCCAAAGTCGATCACGCAAATCTTTGAAGGACAAACTAAGACCGCTCACTGTTCTTACAACAAATGAAAATGGCATCACAATTTTGTGCGTGCAGGCCTCGAGTTGAGCAACATCTAACGATGGTTGGTGGTCAAGTGAAGGATTACAATGCAGTTAGAACCTTTCATTGTCTTTTCGGGCCCTCGGATGGCGTGGGGGTTTAATCCTATTTGACGGGCCATTTACCAATGTCTTCCAAGGCTTATTGTCTTCGCTAGCCTTGCTAGCCCCATATGGAGAATATTTGGAGATATGGTTATGCCTCATGGAGTATGTTGGGCGTGGAACCCAACCGCTATCAGACGAATCCCAATACGTTGCTACCCGTGACCTGGGGCGTTTAATTCCACTTGAGCTGGGTGCCGACATGTTACGATGTGCAGATTTTATGCCAGTACCCGACGTTCGAGGATGCACGACATCGAACAACATCACTCTGGGGATTCGCTCCTCGTAGAGAAAAGCGCTTTAAGCATCTCAGATACGGCCGCAGCTATTCCAAAGACATGGATACGAGGTGGGAAACGATGCTTTGCCAGTTGTCCAAGGAGTCATACCCAGACATCACACGGCCCGTTATTAAGTCCTCGAGCACAATGGGCTATTGGGGTTAGTATCCTGTATGAGGTTTTCCGTCTTCCTATCTTCCATTGGTTGGATAATACAGCGCCACGATCATCTCAACCTCCTCGCCGACTGCTCCAGGTGCCAATGGGCACAACTCGCCCAGCGGCTTCGAATCAGCTGGTTATGCCTTGATGAAGGTCTTACTGTCAATCCCCCGTTGATTCGACAATCCCACCAGCCCCTCCGCCACTTCATTCGCAATCAATGATTGGCATACCTGAGGGCCGTTTTCCTGAATCTACCGACACCCAAGCTGCCTGTTCACCGTGTCGTGTTGTATTTGACACATTGGGAAAATCCCAATGAGACGATCGGTCGGACTTAACAATGAATTTACAGGACGGATAGCCATTGATTACATGACTGCATCGGCGGTAGCTCCACTCTCCGCGTGCAAACAGGCGGACGGTGTCATGGCCAATTTGAGGCGGACAGAGCCCAACAACGCCAGCGACCGCTCGCTCGGGGACATGGGGAGGGATGATAGAGCCCAGGGTCAAAAACAGAGGACTTACAAACGTAGAGATGTTAAGACGACGAGTGCCGATCTTTGTTGTGAACCCGCTGACTCGAAAAGGTCTGGAAAATTATAAAACTTGCGAATGACTCCGAAAACAACACTCATTTACCCCTCGGATTCCACCCTACACTTCCAACTTATTATAATTATTTTTTAGGTTCCAATGTGGCTGCACTTTGCTCGTCTCCGGAATCTGGAACGGTAGAATTCCTCGCCCATCATCTACACCCCCCATCTGCCATCATCTGAAGTTCGTTTGTTTGTTTGTTTGTTTGTTTGTAATCATTTAAGCGCATGCGTCCCTTTGGGATATGGCGCGAGAACTAACATACAAAGCGTCCCCTTTCCGCAGTGCCGTACTGCATCTACTCGAAAAAACTCTGTTTCATCCGTTTTCAACCATTCTCTCGCCGGCCTTGCTGCCTTTGCAGTGGCCGCCTTTTGAGCTGTACACTGCTGTGCACTTAGACTCTCCTGCATCTACCGGTTTCTTCTTCCCTTGCTTTACATTCTGAAGTTCGCAACCGATATTAATAGTTGATATAGCTGAAATCTTGGGCTCCTTAACATATCAGACGGTCCCTTAGCTCAGTTGGTTAGAGCGTGGTGCTAATATCGATACGCCAAGGTCACAGGTTCGACCCCTGTAGGGACCAAACTTTTGCGACATTTTTGGAGTTCTTTTTCAATGACCTTGGTTATGGATGGCATCCGTCGTGCGACGTGATCTGTGCACGATGATGACGAACGGTCTCGAGTTAATTCGGGTGCCGAGCTATATGCCATGAAGAGACACTGTGGTGATTGATCATGAAGGGAGTGTTTTGCAAAACATTCCATCTTGGAATCCTCCTCTAACCGGGCTTCAACGTTCCTCGCAGATTCTATGAGAGGAGCCATGCCAAGCACCTCTCCAATCTCTCTCCTGGACTATTTCCTGGAAAGTTTTTGCAACGTTGAATTTCGATTCATCCTTACTCTCCATACCGCTTACAGTTAGCTCTCATGATAGCTGATCGCGCAATCTTGCATAGGCCTGCCTGTAGGTTCCTTTCATCCTTAGATGTGTATCACCGACGATTCAATCAAGAACGAACGCATTGGCTGGAGCGGCGATATCCTTCTCGTTGTTACCTCTACAATACCTTTTACACAACTACTTCCGTATCGACCCAAGCGTTCTGGATCTCGGTGCCGGTATTCAAACCCAGTTGGAATGTAGGGACCCTTGTACAGGCATGAGTTAAATGAACAGAATATCTCCGAAAAGGGGCGTGGCGTGTGCTACGTACTTAGGTCTGTACTCTGTAGCGTTAAAGAGGAAGAAAATCACTCGCCCAGAATCTGGATTCTGTAGTGTAGCGCCGCGGCTGGGACGGTGCTGCGTTCAAGATGATGCACTGCGACGACAGCGAAGAGTGGGCTCGTACGATGGGGAGGTTGTCAGTGCAAAGGGGTCATGGAAAATAAGAAAAACAAGGTGAATACCTACTGGAACACGGTGTGTTACAATGTTGACCCCCCGTTTTGGAGAGAGGCTGCATTCTGGTACCGTACCGGTAGGCATTCCAGACTCTTTGTGATTTTCAGGTTGCCACGGTGAGTGACGGGCATGACGCTAGAGCCTACAGCAACCAGATCCAGAGGGCAGGAGGTAACGAAGTGGCTGGTGCTTGATTTGTGTGTTTTAGCGACGAGTGCACGGGTTCGCACAGAAACAACGATGGTGGTGGCGAGGCTGGTAATCGTGAGAGCAGAGGTGCGGGGTACTGGGCTCATACCGCTTCAAGAACCCAGTTGGTGAGGGGTAGGAATTCCGCTAGGAGGGCGTGTGATGGGGGCAGGTGGTTTCGTGCTGTAGGTGCGAGTACAGTGTAACTGTGGGGGAGGTGGATGAGGAAGCGAAATGTGTGGGCATGGAAGTTGTCAAAGCGCTGTATATAGATGGGACAATGCCAGGACGCTGGTGAGATCGGATCGCTGGCGGCCATCTAGCGAGCTTGATGCTGTGGAGTGTGGCCATGGTGATGTAGAGTACTCTATGCTCTACGGACTCTTGCGTACTTTTATGCTTATGTGGTGAGAGGGGCATAGTAAAGCATGTTTGCGATCTTTATCGAGCTCTTTGATGTGCAAGCTTTGCCCTCGGCGCGCTGCTAGAGATTTACCCACTTTCTTTCTCCCTGTCACCCTGTTTGGCGCCACCTCCACCATCAGCACCATCAGCACCATCAGCACCGCCATCAGCAGGACCATCCATCCATCATCTCGACAGGCTGCAGCCAGCAACCGCCTTGACGCTGCGTCGTGCTACCAAGACACTCGCAGACGCTCCTCCCGCCTCCGAATTGTCCACCATGTCTCTTTGCTCCTTGCTCCCGAAGCCCGGCGTCGACCTGGGCGAGCTTGTTCTGTTCCTCCTACTCCTTTGATAAGCCTCTCCACATTCTTGCTCCAATGCGCGCTGTCTGGTGGTGAACACGCCCTTTCCCGCCAGTCTATCTTCCCCCTCTTACCCCCCCCGCTCCCCTCTTTTACTCCCTCGCACACTCTCTCTCCCCCCCCATTGACCAGCGCATGCCTGCGTCCTGCGCACGTCGGGCCCTTCTCACTCACTCACGACTCCCACCACTCCAGGCAGGCTGTCAGCGAGTGACCCTTCTCTCTGCCTGTGCTTGTTTCTGGCCCAGCAGCAACAGCACCAGCAAACAACAACCAGCCCTCCTCCAACACCCCCCCTCCCCCTCCCCACCAGCTACCAATATTCCATTGCACTTGAACCTCCCCCTCACCTGCCCCCTCACCCCCGCGACCCGACGTCCTCCCAACGTCGTCATATCTTATCCACTCCCCACCCCAGTCGCTTAACTTGAACTCTTACTGCCCTCCCCCCAGCTCTTCTCACCCCAAAACATCCGTTTCCAACCCTCTCGGCATGTTCCCTGTCAGCATCTCCGCAACACACGCCGCCTCGTCACCTCCAACGACGTCCGCTGTGGCACCTGCGCCCAACAGCACCACCTCCACCTCTCGACCTGGTCGTCTGCGCGGCCTTTCGTACCTGCGCCACTACACCCACCATCACAGCTCATCGTCGCGAGCAGCTCCCACCGCTGTCGTGACAACCACTACCGCCTCCACCTCTCACCAACCAGCTTCTCCTACCGCCCCTGTCTCTCCCTCTGCGTCGCCCTCCAGTCCGCCCGCTCCAGCGTCTCCGAGGCAACAGCGTCGCGCAACGTCACCGCTCAACAACACAGAGAGCAACTCCTGGATTCCCACCGTGAGTGGAATCAGCGGCCTTTCTCGTGTAGCAACAGTCCCGGCCGCGGAGCTCGACACATCGTCTGTGCACGCCAGTAACGTGTCGGCCGCACCTGACTCTGATGGTAACCAGGCCATCCGCTCCATCGACGCTGCTCTCTCTCACGACGAGGCCTCCCACATGGATCTGAACGCTCCCGCCAAGGCTCCGTCCTTTTCCATTCGTTTCACTCCCCACATCGACCACAGGTCGACTCGCCAGTCGCTGCAGTTCTCGCCCATCGAACGCACCCTGAAGATTCCGGACGAGCGGATCAAGGTTGGTCGCTTCAACGAAAGAGACGTCCGTTTGGCGAATCCCCCCGTAGGCTTCAAGTCCAAAGTTGTTTCGCGTCGACACTGCGAGTTTTGGTGCGAGAATGGACAGTGGTTCGTCAAAGACGTCAAGAGCTCCAGCGGGACCTTCTTGAACCACATCCGGCTGTCTGCCCCTGGAATGGAGAGCAAGCCCTATCCCCTCCAGGACGGAGATGTCCTGCAGCTTGGGATTGATTTCAAAGGCGGGGAAGAGCAGATTTACAGATGTGTGAAAATACGCGTGGAGTTGAACCGTGCGTGGCAAAAGGCTTTAAATAACTTCAAGTATGTGGCCTTTATTGCAAGTGTTGACGACGTCCTAACAGCTCGGCAGCTTGTCCGCACACCGTCGGCTTAGAAGCCTGGCCAAAGGCAAGGACTCAGATACATGCAATTCCAACACTTCAGAGTGTTCTATCTGTCTTCTCGCAGTAGCTGTACGACTCCCTCCCATTGATGGTCATCATTCGCTAATGTAGTTTTGCGTTCAGCCCTGCCAATCATTATTCGTTGCACCGTGTTCACACGTTTGGCACTACAAGTGTATTCGGCCACTGATTGAAAAAGAATATCCATGCTTTCTATGCCCCAACTGTCGCGCCGTCGCCGACCTCGACCGCGACATTGATGAGGATGAACTAACCAGCGAGTTGTGGGAGATGATACCTGAGCACGATGCAGATGCCCCTCTCGACCCAGACCACGCCGAAGTTCAAAGTCAGGACACCACAAACGTTGCCACAGCCGGCACTGTCGGCGCGAGTGAGCCCACAACCGCTCTCACCGCTGTCACGGCAGCTGCCGACACATCGAATCGAATCACGGTCACGACCACAACTACCACAACTACCACTGCATCCCAAACCACGAGACCTACCCTTCCCGCTCCTCCCCCACCCCGCCCCACTGTCGACATGTCAACCTCGCCAGCACAACCCTCCCCCGCCGCTACCTCGCAACCAATCTCCACCCCGCCATCACAAACCACACAATGGCGCCGGCGCTGGAATATGTCAACACAAGCCACTTCCACCAACGATGATCACGATAGTAGCCACACAACAGAAGACAGCGGTAATAGTAGCGCAGGAGAAATGAATGGCGAGGGGCCTATGACGCCCATGAACGACGCCGGCCCGTTTTTGCTGGATGGTAATGATGGAAGAGTCAGAGGGAGTCAGCGAAGGGATACTTTGTTCCTACCGTTGGGAAACCTACCACCAGGAAGTTTATCTACCCCAAGCGCGGCGGCGGTGGATACTTGACAAAGGATTGTTCAACTAGCGGGATGTGATATGGACCTTAATCTTGTATAATGATACTAGTGGGGAAGGGTGGGATACAGGGGTATACAGGATGGTCATCGGACGTTGACGGCGATTGGAGAGTCGGGTCGGGATGGGCAACATTGAGGGATCGAATTGGGATCGGCGAGTGAGGAATTGGGGCTGAAATAGTCGTGGTAACGTGATACTACCACCACGACAGTCAATAGGTCGGGCTTGGAGACAAGGGTTGCATTTTTTTTCTTTGTGGTTTGTGTGTGGAGGACAGGGGATTTGCATATGTCATATTGTATTGCTGTGAGTTTAGTCATTTTGTTTACAGCGACTTGCTGTCTTTATTATTGTTGCTGCTGGTGATGCTGCTGCTGCTGCTGTCATTGTCGTTGCCGTTGTTGAAGCTTTCCGCAATCGAGCGGTCATGTATCTAATGGTGTTTCTTCGTTTTCGTGTTTTTTTTTTTTTTTTTCCTTGGTTCCTTTTTTTTCTTTTATTGTTGTTGCTGTCATTGTTTTATTCGCGGGGGTTGGGAAGTTGGTTATGATTGTGGTTGTATACGGGGTTGGGGGAGATGAAGATGAAGATGTTGAAGATGTTGAAGATGAAGATGTGAAGGTATGAAGATATGAAGGCTTCTCTCTGGTTCTGTCTCTCTTTCTCGGGGGATATTGTGTGAGTGGGTTGGTGCTTCGTTTTTGCGTGAAGATGGGGATGCGTTGCGTCAATGGTGCTGATATTTACATCGACAGTGT